AACTTGAAAAGTACTGAAAATATTTTTATGAAACTTGGTATATGGATAGATGGCAGTATAGAGATTATGCACGTTTTTTTCTTTTCTTCCTATGTTGAAAATTCTGGTTGCTATGGCAAAAAATAGGCTGAAAATATGGCAAATTTTACACATAAACTGGATCCAGTGATAACGCAAAAAGTACTGGAAATATTTTTATGAAACTTGACATATGGGTAGATGGCAGTCTTGGGATTATGCACGTCTTTTTCTTTTCTTCCTCTGTTGAGAATTCTGATTGCTATGGCAACACATAGACTGAAAATATGGCAAATTTTACACATAAACTGGATCCAGTAATAAAGCAAAAAGTACTGGAAATATTTTTATGAAACTTGACATATGGGTAGATAGCAGTCTTGAGATAATGCATGTCTTATCTGTTCTTCCTATTTTGAAAAAATATCAGTTGCCTTGGCAACAAATAGGCTTAAAACATGGCAAATATAACAATATTTGTGATTAGTCAAAAAGAGCTGAAATTTTTTATGAAATTGCATCTTTAATTCAAGAGTTATCTCCTCTTTAAGAATTTTACTTTTAAAATGTTATATTTTGGTAACAGGGATGTTTCAAATATTAACTTTAGAGTGTCCTTCAGTCCGTCTGTCCGTCTGTTCATAAAAACTGTTTCCTGTGATCACTTTTAAAGAACTTTTCCAACAAATTTACTTAAAATAGAGAAAAATTGAAACATTTAGTGAATGGCCAATGGCCCTTCAGAATGTTAATGGGGTTCTAACCGGTAGGGGACTTATGGATTGCTTGCAATACTATGATAATTGCTTGTTTTTCTTTCTTTTTTTTTCTTTGTAACATTATTTATGGATCTCTCTGATCCCTTATGGAAGAAAAAAGGGTTTGATTTAAATCATATAATTATTGTAGGTATTTATTTGCTAAATAATGCCAAAATTTATAGCAAATATGATACCAGATATTTTCAAAGTTTAATAAAATAAAAACTACACGGTAAAAGTATTTTATATTTCGCATGATCAACCAATACACCTTGAAAAAAATTTAGGCAAAATTTAAAAACAGCCCCTTATTATGGTAAATTTAAGGGATATTTTGAATAAGGCATTTTAGATAGGGAAATGGTAAATTTAGTGTTTAAAGTGGGTGGGGTAAGGAAACATTTTTATACATATTAAGAACATTTTGTTTAGAAACAAACATTTTGCTTGTATAATTTGTTACCTGAATGTTATTATTTGTTTCTTAACAATGAGCAATAGAAAATCATTTTCTATAATGATGATATTACAGATTATTTAGAGTTTTCTCATTTCTGAAAATAAGCCCTTTTAATGGCAAAGTCTTAGTTCAGAAATATATCCATAACTAATAAACCACACGGTAAATTTTATTTAAATTTTGCATACAGGTTACCTTGAAGACATATAACTGTCCTATGTTGTCAATTTTACTGTTCCTTATGGTGCCCATTACCCATGGTCTACCTTAAAGCATAACATGTCTACTTCTTGTGAAGTCAAAACATTTATTTTATATTTACAGAGAGACTGCGTAGCAATTATCAATATTCTCAAATCATAGTATATCTTTAATATATGTTAAGATAGTGATTTTTGATAATGGCATTTGTACTTATAAATAAGGTACATATTCCGAAAGTCATATAAAAATGGTGTGTACAAAAAGTTCAGAACTGGATTACTTATCCCTTTTATTAAACAACCATTCTTATTTAATGTTTATTTGAAACTGAGATTTAAAAACTTGAGATTATTTTTGTTCTTCACGTTTTATTTTTGTTCTACAAAAATCTTGGCTGTTGTGAATAATGATGTTTTGTTATATTAAGACATGACATATATGTTTTGTTTTTTTTTGTTTAATATTTTTATTCTTAATTTAGAAGATTTACCTTAGCCAAAGTGACACTTAGTTCCTATTTGTTTATCTGTGCAATAAATAATGCATAATATAGTTGTATAAAATAAAGTTTCAAATGTATTAAGACTTTGTACTTTTTTATTTTATTTTTTCCAAAGAGGGATAAACAAGTGATAGGACTTGTAACTGTAACTTTTAAATCAATGATTTACATGTGTGTATATTGGAAAATTACATATTTTAAACAATATATTGACATATCTTAAAGAGACAATAGGCCTCAGAAATGAGTCTTTAAAAAGGGCAAGATCATAAAGATAGTTTTTGCAACAGTTATGTTGCATGTTGGATGCTTATTACATATGTACTTGAAGAAAGTAGTGCTGAATGTGAAATTATTTGTTATAAAAGTAGCAAAAGGTAAACAAAGTAGTTACAAAATATACAATCATTAAAATTGTACTAATTGCCAACAAAGAACAACGGGAGCAAAAGCTGAATCAGGTAATTAGCCTGGATACTATAATGGAGCCAGAAATAAAAAGCATTTGAGAAATGAAAAGAAAAGCAGACTGGGACTTAAAGGGGCTTTAACTAAAATCATGGTATGAATTCACATTGTCAATTCCATTTGTCAGATGTCGTGTCTAGGAGGAATATTAGCGCATCTGTACATTGTACACTGTCATCCCCAATTGTTTCAAGAAACATTTGGCCAAATTTGATGAAACTTCATAATGCTGATCTTTGCAAGAATCTCTATCACAGGAATGGTCCTCTGCATGAAGTCATAAATCCAGTCTAATACATTTTGAGCTGAGTATGCTGCTATATTAGATATGAAAGGTGAATTATTTTAATGCGAAAAGTGATAGAACTTTGATATGCAGCATTGTATAATGGTCCTACGCAAAAATTGTATAAAACATGTCTCCTTAGCATCATTTTATGATCATACATTTTTAATTATAGGAAGATGCGCATTTAAATTTTTTTATGTAAAATAAATGGCTTAGAAGTAAGATAATGAAACCGCACATATTAGCACATATTAGAGCATAGGTATTTGGCATGAAATATTGCCAAGTATTACTGTATAAAAACTTTGCAAATAAAAAAAAAAAGAGTTAAAAAAGCAAAAATCTTTAAAACAACATTTCATCAACCTCTAAGTCAATGTTTTGATGAATTTCTACAGGAATGATCATTAGGTTGTCCTTTATTTCATTTCGGTATGTTGAATAAAATGACCGCCAGAACTTAAAATAGAAAAAAAAATTCCTCCTCAACCGACATCTCCTCAACCGCATAGTAGTTATTAGATGAAACTGTACAGAAATGATGGATACGTGGTCCTTGATTGAAATTGTCGACTCATGGTGTTCTTAACAAGATGGCAGTGAAAGCTGAAATTATTAATAGGAAACATTTAAAATAATCTCTTTCTAGACTGCTTGGTATATTTTCGTGAAATTTTACAAGAATTTTGCAAATTTTGCAAAAATCGTCCTAGAAGATGGTCTGCTGATATCAAGGACTTCGAGAGCAAAAAAAGGGAGAATACAGTTAAGATTTATCTGACATTTTCTGACCTCTTTCGCCATAATGCAGATTTTGTTTTTTTTTTTAGCCAGAGCTAACTATAGCAATAAGCTTTAAGTGACCACTGCATTGATCCCTAGGCTGCTCTCATCGATCTTTAATTCTATAACCACAGACATTGACCTTAACAAATAAATTGTGGAGTATTTCTTATTGAAATCCATTGATCTGATAATTCGAATTAAGCATATTAGGACCATGTAGCAAACCATGCTTTCTTCGCAAGTTTTGATAAATTTCTGAAGGATTCATATTATAATTTATGTTCTTTCTGCTGAACAAGATGGTCGCCGGAGCATTGACTAGAGATACGCTTTAAAAACGACATTTCACACTCAACTGCTTGGCAAATTTGGATTAAATTAAATAGAAACTATTCTTGAGTGGTTTGCCAAAATTGCATTAAAGTTGTCTGGAAAAGATGGTCGCTCTTAACAAGAAAGACCTAATAATGACCTCTTGTCCATTTAAACCATATATCAAGTCACGAGAGTTTGGCTGAATCTACGTAACTTATTGAAGACAATATACTCATGATACTGCGCGTGAGGGGATTGCAAACTGTTACGATATTTCAGTTAAGATTGCCATAAATGACAAATTCCCAATGTCATGACGATTGGCTTTCAGTGCAATATTTTGTCTTAATTATTATGACATGTTTCCCCTTTTTATTGTAGAAATGTTTAGATATTAGCATGATTAATGTTTAAAGAGATAAGCAGTTTCAAAACTGGATAACATATTTAATTTCGGAAATTTTGGTGATAAATGACAATATTCTTTCTGATTTGTTAACCCCCCCCCCATAGCTTATCTATCACCCCATAGCTTATCTATCACTTTTTGATGACCATTCACACGTATTTCCTCATGTTCATATTTTCAGTGATCGAGATAGATGATACATCTGTCCTAAATTCCTTATGTAGATGTTTTACAATACTAATATATATTGATCTAGTTTGTGGATTTTCAGTAAATTTTAATTTAGGTGTTTTAAATAATGCGATTTAAACATTAATGTACAATAACAGAGAAAACATGCCAGTATAAGTAATTATGTGGCACATATGGAACAATAAATGCAATTTGCATTTACAAAAACATACTGTAAACAGCACATATATTTTAACAATATATGTATGATGTATGGAACGCCATTTTGCCATAAACCTGCTACCGAAATAGTTATTCGTCGGTTGCTCCCCTTTTCTTGCTGGAAGCCATTTGTATGCAAAAAACTACTTATTTTTCGTATTTATTTCTTATTTAAACTGTGGCAAATCTGTACGTTTTCTCGTGTTTGTTTGAAAGGACATTTAATATTACCGAGTATAATTTAATATAAAGTTGTGTATACACATCTAGTTTCGATTTAAGATAATAGAGATAACATTCATGTTGGGGACTGATTTATTTGTTTAGACCTTTATCTGACTGACTTAACGCATTATTAAACTGTTACGAAATATATATATTATTTCAGCGACAGAATGGAGAAGGAAGACTTGGTTCTTGTTGGGTTTGTTGCGGCGGCACATGCATGGCAGCTAGGTTTGTTGATAGATCTTCGTGTATGTGGTTGTTGAAATGAATCTTAACCGGCTCACTGATTTATTTATGTCAAATTATAAAGTATGACGAGTATGTGTGAAATGATATACATGTACCACTATACATTTAGTCTAATTTTAGCTTTTCACAACTTCCCATTTTAATTTATGTTATTGCCGTGTTGTCACTGCTGTTGTCACTGCTTCAGATAAATCTCATAATTTCAACCCACATATATTTTAGAAAGTGATTAAAGAGATTAATTTGCTTATCATGAATCATGTAAGAACATTTACATATATATTTATAATACCATGTGTTGACATACGCTGCTTCTGTTACGTTTAATACGTTAACAGTACTATATACAACTTGGCAGAATGAGTACAACTTGTGACGGCTCATAAATAATTGTTGTTGTTGCAGAAGTGAAACTAGCTAAAATGTAACATAAAGTAGTGACTACTGTATTAACAGTCACAATGTGTGTCAGGTATACTTATCATATACTTATGCAGATCAATAGAGGATATGAGTTTCATGGTCTGTGTATTACTTTTAAGACAGTGCCATGCTTCGGTGACAGGTTTTTCTGAATACATAGAGGATATTCAAGTTTTTTCTATAAATACATGATTTATTTTCATCGAGTGGTATGAAAATAAATATTTCATGAGTGGCGGTAGCCACGAGTGAAATATGGTAATTTTCATGCCACAAGATATACATTTTTATCTTTTTTGACATTAAAATTTGAAAGACTTTCCCTTAAATTTTGTGTACTGGCAAAATTTAAAAGAAAGTAGTCCGGCAAGACACCAGTGAAAATACGGAAAATATGTTTCACTGCAGTGAAAAATAAATTTTTACAGTGAAAATACGGAAAATGAACATACGCATTTTATTTCATCAATATTTCTCAATATTTCATTTATAAGTATATAATAAAGTTCTTTTATAATAAGGCGACTATTTATTATTAAAGTTAAGTCTTTTTCAGGAATGGCGGCGACAGAGGTAGCAGTGTTGAGAAGAAAGCACAAGATTTCACCTCCCACCACTGATGGACCACCTGATTTTATAAGGGCTCTTAGAGCACAGTGAGTTGTTGGAGGTTTTTTTATGCGTGTTGTTTTCTTGTTGGTTTTTCTTTTCCGTTCACCTTAAAGGAACTTCACCGAGGTCTAAAAGCTTAAAAACATACATTTTGAAATTCTTACACAGATTCACTGGGACACTTAAAACGGAAAGATATGCAAAAACAATTAAGGATACATTAAAATTCGTTTATATGTGCAATTCTTAGCCAGTCTGAGTGAAAAGCGTTGCAACGCTTTTCAATTTTGGGTCATTTTTCACAATTAGAATACTTATTCTGGAAAAACTGAGTGAGCGAATGGTCTGCGTAAAAATTACAATAGTGGTCTAATTGAACATTAATCTCGAATAATTTTCTCGTCATGTCTAAAGACCTCAGTGGAGTCCCTTTGAGGATACACATCGAGTTTGTAATGTTTTTTATGCTGTAGTTTTATACAAAGTCTGCTTGAGTCTATGCATACATTTATCAGTCTGTTTATTTTGTATATTTCAGGCAAAATGGTTTAGAATTCGGAGTAATGTTTGAAGCAATACTTTGGACAGCTGGTATATTTGGACATCAAAGTGAGTATAAATTTTATGGAAATAGAAAATATGAACAAATATATGCATTAATGATGTAGAACAATAAATTAACAAGGTAGCAATATTTTAAATTTCTATTCCTATTTGATTGACCTTACATCATATCAGTTCTAACTGTAATGTTGATTTATTTATTCCTTCCAGTTCCTGCTGCTGTCTTAGGTACCTATTATTTGGTAGCTCGACATTTTTATGTGAAAGGCTATATTCAAGATGCAGAGAAAAGGTAAACTAGGCAACAGAATATTGAATGCACATATATATAAATTTTAAATAATTTCTGTTTTATAAGAAAAGCACCTTTTAATACTCGGTTTGTATTCCGATTTTATGTGTCTACTAGTATTTAATAAAATCCTATTTTGATGTTAAATTTATATTACGATTTGTCTATTTTATAAAAGCACCTTTTAGATGCTCACTTTGTATTCCGATTTTAGAGAAAGTGACGATACTGTATCTTTGTTTATTACTAGACTAGCTGCCTTTTAAAATGATAATACTAAGTAATTTCTGTCTATGGGTCAGCCTTGAACATTATGTATTAAAATGTACTGTTTTAAGATATACTTGCAGTCATGCATGCGTTGTTTCAGCAACATTATGATATGTTTTGATTTTTTTAAAATAATTTGATGCTTATAAGAAATCAAATATTATTTCAGAAAGAAACCATTTTACCACAGTGTGCATGCATTAAAGGGTTTGTTTGCCTTAACGTTGCTAGGTATAGGTAACGTGTGTCTCAAACAGTTCGCTGATGTAGACGTCGTTCCTATGATCAAAGATCGATTCTTCCCATCTTGATTTTATCAACACGCGGTCAACATACCGCTTGTTTGTTTCTCAGGACAGAACAAATATATTTTTTATTTGAAAAACACATTGTTACTATTTAAATAGTTACAGTTATTTGGGAGAAATCATTTACAGGAGTTTTTGATACTGCTTTTGTGTGTGTTGTTTCACACAATAATTTTAGATGTATTGATGTTATTAATTTTTTTACCAACTTGAACTTATATGGATAAATATTGCAATGTTTGTAATAAAATGTCAATAAATTTGAGTCCTTTGTCCTGACTTTTGCTTGCCTCTCTAGTGATACCGCTAAATGTTATGTAATATTTTGTATAAACTTATGAGCCCAATTGCAGAACGTGGTGTGTGCACACATCATGTTTGATACAGTATCCCTTCAACTTAGCTATTACCAATCCACAATTAGTCTGTGCTTTGCCGCGCACCTTGTCTCTCGGTATTGACTTGTCCAAACGTAAGATTTTTTTCAATCGAGTATATTTGAAATTCGTTAGATGTTGTATGAAATTAAAAGCAGTAGCTTCTCTTTATGAATCAATGAGTGAGTAGATCAGATGGCAATACGTTTTAGTGCATTCGGTATCTTTAATAAACATTTCTCTTACACTGACACTTGAATGGTTCAAAGTTGGAGGAATTCATTTATTAGCACCGACATTTTTTTGTGCCGAACGGCAAATACGTAAAAAGGGTAAAAGAGTTGTAGGCAAGTCCGAAGCTGATTGAGAGCCGCCACTTATTCGATATTTCTGAATTTAGCCAGGTTATATAATTTGTTATCTGGTATACGTTAACCAGACGATCAATATTTTTCACAATTATTGTTGTAACAAGCATCAAGTTGCATTTTGAAACAAAAATGAAATGTGTTAACGCAGAAGACGCTGTAGTGGATGTGTGAAAACCACGGGATAGGAAAGGATGACATCATTCTTGGCGTAATTCTTCTTAAGCATGCATATCCTTTATATGAAGTTACCGGTATATTGTATCAACATTTCACTGCATATTGCTAACTAATGTGTATTGCACCAATGCGCAAAAAGCTTTCCACAATTGCATGGATGTTGATACGTCTGCAATACCTTACGAAGCTTTAGCTAAACAGTTTTAAACTAATCGCAATCATAATAGAGCTAAAAATGTAAAAATAGCTGTGAAACGGGTTGAGAATATTAAAGAAATAAGAACTCATATAAAAGTTCGCACAAAATACGGCGAAGCATATTTTTAAAGGTCGGATAAGGCATCTTATATTGAGTTGCCACAGAGTCAGTCAATAATGCAGCAAAATCTGGCCGACCTGTGACAGTAACTGGCAGGACAATTGTCTCATAAGTCGGGTTAATAATTGATAACAGGTATTCGAATCATGACATCGCCAAAACTGTTGGCATATCGTTATCGCAGGTGCATTTTATTTAGAAAGTACGGATGGACACCCCATATATTGTCAAATGACCAAATAAGGGTACGAGTACAAACCGCTAAGCAGTTCTTCAAAATGTTTCCTAACTTCAGTCAAAGACAATTTGCAAACGTCGCTATTGGTTTCACTATTTCGACCAGTCAGAAAAAAAATGAAACAAATAGGGCTAACCAAACATGGTATCTATCTGCAGTAGGTCTTTTATTGTATATTCTTCACCTCTGATCGTATATAGCCGTGCAAATTCTAGTGTCGAAGGACAAAGTGTTGCAATTCCGTATTACCAAGATGTAA